GACACTGGGACTGACTCTTTCACACCAAGAGATGTGAAAAAATACCAAGCTGGGAATTGGCATATAAAAAAAGTACAAAATCTGCCATRCAGACTGAATGCCAGACTGTGGGCCACAACCGGGAATACATCTAAAAAAGTCTAATGTTATCCATCTGGGCTACAGGAAAGTCCTTGTTCTTTTAAAGTGATTTTTTGAGTCTCCTTTTTAGAGTAGATAGTTATCCTAAGTCATCAGAGTAAAAGCACACCCACTTATCTATTTGCCAACTGCTAACCAYAAATTCTGCTTGGAACAGGGGTTTTTGTGACACTTCTATGCCCATGGCTGGGGTCCTGGCAGATATGCTTGGACACCCTGTCTGTGTTAAGATAATAAGCTAATTTCATCATGTAAAATCTCTGTTGCCTTTAAGAATTGCATTTGGCTTTGTCAATATTTACCCTGTTGGCTGAACTCTTAAAAACTGATTTGCCAGAACGACTTTTTTTTTAACATGGATGGCTCAAGGGAGCTGCTGGATCTATGCTGCAGGGCACTGATACCATCAAACTGCCCACTCTCATCCTTCCTCCTTCTGCTAGAGGAAGGCTTGTTCTTCCAACATTTTTTTTTTTTTTTTTTTTTGACTGTGTAGAACATCAGATTCCCATTACTCTGCTATGCTGCTCTGTAAAAAGAATTTTTAAAACTCCCACTATTATTTAATCACAGCTTGCAGTGCCCCTGCTGCAATAAAACATAACAGTGGGCTGGCACTTCATCAATAGTAATTTGCTGACATTACAGTCACAGTAGCACTGGATGTAATTGCCCTGCTCTACTGCTGACTCCGTAAGGTTTCTTGATCTTGGTCAATACATCTTTACACTGGGACTACGGTGAGAATTTTTGGTCTAACAAATCAGCTTTGCAATTCACACTTCCTGACTGTTTGCGTAGGAGTCATCCTCCAGTTAGTCAGCACCCTCTCCAGCCCCCAACTTCATTCCTAATATTTAAATTTATTTGAGCACACTTTATTCTTATTTATTCTCAATTTTACACATTAAAGCACAACACAACTTCCAAGAGATAATAGCAGTTATTAGATTGAAGGTGCTAACTCAAAGACAGAAAAATAAGAAGAACTTAGGACTTTGAATTCCYTAGAGGCCCACAATCTTGCCAGCAAGGATAGGATCTCAGACCACACAGATTATTATCAGATGTTTATTGCAGAATAGAAGGCACCTTGAGAATTAATTTCATTATGTTGTGTTTTTTTTTCTGTAGACAAATAAGACATAAATTATCACCACAAATGTCTTCTACTGGCAATGAAGGAGGACAACAACAAAATAAGAAAAAAATAATGTTAATTCCTACTGACAGAACATACGGTGTGTGAGACACTGTGAAAGTCACCATTGTGAACTGCAAATATTTATCACTTATACTATTGTAGCTTCCCAGAGTTAGAGACAGAGATGACACTATGGAGAGAGGAAAAAGCCTCTCCCCAGAGAGCTCTCAGACAACGTGTCAGATTGGGTGGCTTTGCAGCAGGCATGCAAGTACTTTTGATGGATATTTAAGGAATGAGACATAGAAAACATGTCACATTATACTGCATGTTATATGGCTATGTGGAAATCCGCACGTACTGAGATATCRATGTTCTAAAACACCACAGGGAGCCAGTATATTTTGATACTTTTGTTGATTTTTTTTGTGTCACTTCTCTGTGAAAGTCTTGCTTTAATAAAGTGGCCTTCACAGGCACAGCAGAGTCCTTTATAGAAGTGGACCACTGTAAAATTCAGGAATACAAGGTGGAAAGAAGATGAAGGGAGCTGAAGAAGACACTGCAGCCTTTAATGTCAGCCAACTGGCAAGCCCAAGTGCTAGAGGCCAGTGGAGCCCTGGTTATGAATTTACTCATTGCTTGCTCTTCGAGACAGACACCCAGGAACAGGTCAGGTGGCAGCAATAGCGCTGTGGCTCTTCCTTCCTTCCTTCCTTCCTTCCTTCCTTCCTTCCTTCCTTCCTTCCTTCCTTCCTTCCTTCCTTCCTTCCTTCCTTCCACCCTCACCGTGGCTTACAAACGCAAATATTTGCTACCTGCAAGAGTCCTTCTTTCATGTATTCACGTGTGGGATGTTACAGAGCTTTTCCACAAAAAAGCTCCTCGTCAAAGGTGGGGTAGAACAAGCGTTATACCCAGTAATCATGGTTGCACTCCAAGATCCCTGAAGAAACCAGCAAGCTATTCTAAGGCCCCAAGGCTCTTGCTTGTCCCATAGGAGTAGCTCAAGGACAYTAGTGCCTGCCGTTAGTGCAATCGGTTCACACAAATTAAAGATTATCATGCAAACTAAGCTTTGCTTATTCTGCATATTTTTCCAAGGTTTTCAAAACCACTTAATGAATTTGGGCACGCTCAAGGAGTGTTTTTAAATTCCAGTGCTATTTGCTTAATGAAATTATTTTATAAGCATTGTTGTTCAGATTTTCGAGACTATTTTGGGTTTTGGGCAACTGATTGCTCCTCTTTTTAATATAAAGTAACATCTGAATCTGGCAACAGTGAGCTACTTGCAAAACTCCAGTAGTTGAATAAGTTCATTTCATAGTCAGAACAAGGCTTCCATTCACAGGGATACAGATGAAACAGGTGGCTGATGTTTCTGTCTGGAGTATTATTTCACATTGGCTATACAAACCATGGTTCAGGTTTTCGTGCCCATGTCATCCAAGAACTTCATTTTAAAAGGCCTTTAAGCTTCCTGATATTAAATTTATATTGATAAATATAAGCATATGCATATAAATCGATGTGTAAATATATACCTGTGTTTATTTGCTGTGTATGAATGTATAGAAACACACACATTTATAAGCCCCTTGGCTGTGCATGCCTGGCCATTTGCATGTGTTTAGGAACTCTCGATATTGGTGCTGTTATTCTGCACAGCAGTATCTCATTTCTTCTGTGGCTGCCCAGTATATGCTGCTGTTTGGAGGACTTAAGTGGGACACATTTCCAACAAGGTGTTTCTCAGAAGTTTGGAGCCCTTCATCCTAAAACAGCAATTATCGAAGAGAACAGGTATCTAGGGGTGGAAGGGGAATCACCAGACTCTACAATGTTCAGACAATGCAAGCACATACGGCCTGCAGGCAAAACTAGAGTTGGGGGAAGGTTGCAGGGTGAAATAGTGGCTGATGGCACCAAGATCTCCGTTTCACTCTTTCTATAGCAAGGTTCAGGATAGTCACATTGCAAAACAAGGGACTGGAAAGAGAAGAGATAAAGGACAAGATCTCAAGAAATCCTAGTCTCCCATATAATCACAAGAAACTGAGAAGGTCTTATGGCTTCAGAATAGAAGAAAACTAGTCATTAACTTATGTGAGGCAGCTGGTTTCCCAATAACAGCCCCTACACATTCTGGTTTTGATATTGTTCTTGTCGACTGTGGGAATGTCATACATATATAATGACAGTTTATTCCAAATTGGTCATTGTTGGAGTTAATAATTAGGCAGTCAAGCACTAATTATCTCTGTTTTGTCTCAAACCATTAACTAAGAAATTTGGAGAAGCAATTTTGGAGGAATGCATTAAAGCTGGCCACAGTTGGGTGGAATCTGCTATGTGCACAAGGGACACATCACTCTGAAGAGTTACACCAGCATAAAACTTGGAGCAGGTTCAGGCCAGTACTGCTGTATGGGAGCTCTGAATATCACATGCAGGGTGCCAAMATGCTACACTTGGAAAGAATACACACATGTGTGGTGTTCAGCATTCTTTGTACCACTAGTATGTCCCTAAAACAGGAAAGCTTGAGAAAAGCATTATGTTGAGCTCAGAGACCAGAAAAACTCTCAGTGAGGGCACATCCATGCAGTGGCTGCTGGAGCTCTTTTCCTGAGCAAGGGTTGGCTGGCTGGGCAAGGGCACAAGGATGTACAGAAGTAGAAAAAGATGGCAAAATGAGACTGCTCAGAAGGCATGTGACCTAAGTGTATATCTGAAATAAATATCTCACATGTCTTAAGGAAAGTAATTGGGACAGGAGCATTCCCAAAGACTTCAAATATAACCAAACTGTGGWAGACATTCAGCTAAAATAGTGCTGCAGATTATATTGGTATAATAGTTTAAAAAAAAAAAAAATCTGACCTCATGCAATACTCCCAGAATAAAAGCTGGATAGATGAGAGCCAACACTGTTAGGGAAAGGCTCAAAGAGCCCTGGTACAAASGTTGCCCTTATGAGCCAGTTATTGCCTTCCCCTATGGAGGCRACTGCATTAGGTGTGCTGCGGCCAAAACACACACTGGGCAAAACTGTCCCCTAGCAAACGTCAAAGGGGTTCTGTGGGAATCAGCAAAAATATGCTGAGCTACTGGAGATGAGAATCTGGCCTAGGAATAAGAAGCTTGGGCACAAGGTTAGAGCTTCCAGGGTTCCCACAGAGGCAGTGGACACACATAAGGCCCCCTGTGCAGAGCTGAGCACCCCAAGCACAGCTGAGACAGCCCAGCTGCTCCTCATGTGCCTTCTGACACCAACTGGGATAGCAAAGCACTTGCTGGGAATGCAAAGAATGGGAGATGCCACGGCCAAAGGACTGCAGGGAGCTGCAGGCGGCCGTCAGCAGCACGCTTCTCTTGCAAGGTGAATGAAGTATGAAGCACAATGAAACCCATTTCTGTGACCATCCTCCCCTCTCATCCACATGTATTGTAGAGATTGTACAAAAAACACTAGATGAGAACAGCTATATAGTACACAGCATATATTTTTGCTACTTGCTTTCAATTAAAATGACCAAGATCAGAGTATATTCACATCGTGCCTCAGAGCAGAGCATKCAAATTTCCCTTTTTAGTTATTCCTGCAAAACTTTTTCCTCATTTAAGGATCTTCACAGTTATCCTACTCCTGAGARTCCTAAAATAAACACAGGAGGCCAAGAAAAATGCACACAACCTCTCATGAGCTTACCTCAACATAGAGGATAGGGAAAATGCCAATCTTGTCTCCCAGCATTCCTTCTGCCCAGTTATCATCTACCCTCCTGATGACAGTTAAAATTTCATCCTAAAATCAGACATAAAGAAAAAAAAATTATTTTCTTCTATAGTGAGATTCAGCTTTTACAATTAACCCCATTAAAACTTAGGAAGAGGAACAAAAGGCCATGTAAAAATTGCCCCTGAATCTTGAGTCATCACTGCTCCAAGTCTGTCCTCCCAAGCATATTAGAAAGAGACTTACAGACAGCTGCACCTCATGCCAGTTGCCAGAGGCTCCAAAGGTCTGGGAAAAACAGGTAAGAACAGGTAGGAAGCCTTTAACCCAAAGGAGAAAACTCTTCAGCATAAACCAGTCCCTGTGCTGTTTTATTCTAAAGAGTTTATTCCAGCACTTGGTTGCTCCAGAAGAAAATTCAAAGTTCCCAATGGAGAACAGGCAGACGTCCATCATGAGATTTAAGGCATAGCACAAAGTGTTTAGCAACTAGCCTGCACTGCATTTCAATCTTTTTTTTTTTTTTTTTTAATGTCCGGTGAAAGAGCAAACCATGTAAAAGGGCAAGAACATTATAATGAAAAAAATCCCTTGCATTCAACTTTAGTTTTGCCAAAGCAAATGCTCCAATGGCATTTTCAATATTACAGTTAGTCTAAGCAAAACTACACAAATCTCAGCTGAAGATGTCCTTTTGGTGATTATGATATTTAGAAATGTATAAATAAATAGGTTTTATACTGCTCAAAAGTTCTCCTGGTGGAGTCAAAGCTGAAAGTGATTAGAAAAGTTCGCACAACTTGGAAAAAAAAACCCCTGAGTTACTTGTGTTTGAGATGCTTAACTCACTGCCTGATTTGTGCTGTTTTGTGTGCTTGAGTTTGTTATAATCAMCATAATCAATTCTCTCCATACTAATATCTAAGACTAAGATACTAAGACTAGTGAAAGGCAATGGTATGAAAGAAGTTGTAAAGTTATATTTGATGATAACTCATTTTTTCATTGCTTCCGATCTTATTCCAACCCTATGCAGAAATAAAAACAACAAATAAAAACAAACAAACAAAAACCTTTCTCTAGAAGGGTGAGTCAGTTCTTAGCCTTATTAGTGTTCTAGGACAATAAAACCACATTTATCTACATGCGTTGTCTAGCTCTTCATTTTAAAAATCTAGCCATGCTGGCTGTTCAGGCAAGGGAAGGTTTTTTTTGCATCTACTTTTCACAGAGGGACTAAAACAGATCCAAATTCCTAAACTAGAATGAATTGATAGTGGTTTTAAATGGATAGAATCTGATCAGCGCAATGATGTACTTTGCAGTTTTTGAACTTGCACATTTTCAGCATGTACATTTTAAAATAGTTTAAATGTTTCCCTTGATTTATTCCTCTCAACGATCCATTATGGGAAAGCTAGTGAAAACAGACACAGACTGAGTCCTTCAGCTATTTATTACAGCTGGAAGGATGCAAGAATAATTTGTGCATTTAATTTCCTGAAGAAACGGATAGTATTCTCTTCCAAAGCCCTGTCTGCATGGACCGTTTTTGATCTGTGTAAAGAACTGACAGTAATATAGCTTTGTAAAGTTTCCACATGCTCTTACAAGATTCCAATTATAATAAATTTAGCATGACGGTAAAGGGGGTAAATGGGGAAAATAGAAGATTGAATTGYTTCAAGAACTTTTCCTAGTTGTTCAGGTACTTTCTTAAAAGGCTTTTTATAAACCCCAAAGGATGATGAATCTATACTTTCAAGGAGATATATCTATATATCTATACATCTACCTATGTGCATGTGTGTGTATATAAAAATAAAAATACATACACACATACACATAAATATGTGCATACACACAAGATTAGACACTAAGAAAAAACTCCCAAATTGTAAAAACACTGAGGAGTTTGACTAGATTTCTCGGAGCACGTGTGGACTGTTCTTTCCTTGAGCAGACAGGACAGGCACCTGGCAGGAAAGATTTATCCCAAGCTGATGCTGCTTTAGGATGGGGCAGGGAATGGGTGACCTTTCAGGACACCAGCTTTATTTTCAATAGACCTATGATATCTGAGYGAACTTCTCTATACTTAACTTTAGCTTGGCTGTGCCAAATTTGGCTGCCAAATATATGAGACAACCAGAGAGCTGTACATAAAGAAACATGCTGACATTCAAAATGCTTATCTTTGTAAGAGAGCAAAGTGCAGATCCCTGAGACTGTTTTCCRTTAAGGAATTCTTTTTCAGAAGGATGTTGAAAAATTCCAGGAATTACAGCAAATCCTGAGACATCACTGAAATTCTTTATTAGTAGAAAGTTTCATTGAATTCACAGCCCATGACATTGTTCTACACACTGAGCTGGCAAACGTTTCAGCAGGAACTATTTCAGTCCCTTAAATTAGCTGGACAGCAATGCTACCTATATATTCCTAGAAAGGTTCCCAAAAGGATCGTGAATAGTAAAGAGCCACAGATCTATTGGCATGCCACTTTTACATCTTCTAAACTTCACTATTTCACATCTACTAAATTGATTTCCAGACAACAAAAGTGATTCCAAGCCTAAAATCTCMTTTCTATGGCCAACAGCATGTACTGTAGTTTGACACAGACACCTTGTGCCCTATTTTTTTGCTTGTTGCTGAAGTTTCTGTAATTATTTGTTCTCTCTTCCTTGTTAAGGTCCCTCTATTCATCACTGCCTGGCAGCCTTGCTACAGGCATGTAGGACCTGCAGTTCCAGTTTCTAATCATCATCAGAAAGGAAGCCAAAGAGAAATCACTTAAAAAACCAATCTGATTGACAGAGAAATGAACGCTTTTGTAGAGGAAACAGCACAAACCTGTGTCCAATAACAGGCGTGATTCACAGCCTGATTTTTACTCTAGCCATTAAGAGCCTTTAATGAAGCAATAAGAAGCAGATGCATTTGCTATTCTGTAGAGATGGCAGCTCCAGCTAGGAGATTTCAGGGGAACCACACAGCACTCGCTGCGCCTGCCCGYGGTGTTTGCCAGCTGGCAGGAGGGTCCAATAGCTGCTACCACAACAACGGCCCCACTGAAAAGCAAATGCCTCTTGGATTGAATCCTAACGGGCTGGGGTGTCACTCCATCACGAGGAACTGGTATTGGAAGTGATAGCTTCAAGACTGGCACAAAACTTGCTAAGCACTGCTGAGGGCTGGGAATAAAAATGTCAGAAAATGAAGGAAATAAGCGAGAGACTTGATGTGATTAAAAATGTAATGAATAGGAAAGCACAAGAAACAGTGATGCTACCTTGACAGCTTTGAAACTCCTCTACCACTGGGACAGAGCCTTCCAAGGGCCATGTTAATTAATTGATGCAAAGGGTGGTCAARAACCAAAATAGCACTGCATGCTAAATTTGGACTCCACCAAAGCCTGAAGTAACTACGCAGACAGACCATAATATGATTGCACCAGATTTACACTATTGTAGCTGAGAGCAGGGTCCTTTTGTGCATGGCTTAAGCCAGAAAGCCTAGCCCCGAGAAGGCTGAATCATTTCTTAAAAGCAGAGACAGCATGAGCTCAAGCTCATACTGTGGTATCACATAAGAGGACATTAGGAAGCTGTTTTAAATGAGTATATCCCAGAGGCATGCAATGAGACTCTGCAGGCCACATGCTGATTGCACCATGCTTGTGGCAATCAGGAGCAACACTTCAGCAGCTGCTGGGGGTAAACTGGGGCAAAACTTACACCAGGCTCCAACCGGTCATTACAGAGAGCAACATAACTGTTAAATGATGCATTTGGCTGATCCCTGCCAAACCCTAAGTGAGAACAGCTAAGTTGCATATTAAGGATGTTTCATGTTATTGTGGCCAATGCAGAACGGGAGGCAGTGGGAGRACCTGATGCCTTTACACATGTCTAATTCAGGAAGGGGAGTCAAGTGTGTGACTGAAAAAGACTTGACTTTTGTTCATTGCCCTGGATGCTCATGATGCAGATTTCCCAGGTTTATGCTTACAGTCATACCTACAAAAATACTATAACTGATTTTTCTTTGTCCTTTTCACTTCAGAGCATTTTGTCCACAGGAAACAAAAATGGGCAGCAGCCCTCTGCAGCCCTTTGCTCATGAGGAGCAAAGCAAAACACTCTTCATTTCTTTGCATTTCACCTCTGGTACAGCAGAACATTTCAATTTTGAAAAAAAAAATTTGCTAAGAGAGAACCCAAAATATCACTCTTTCCTTCATACATTCATTCATTTGCTTTTCTTTATTACCCCTACAGATATTCTGACTACACCATAACAAAGAGGATGGAAAAAATATAAAGTCAGTCATATAAAGTGCAGTAACTAACATGGAATACCGCTGTATTKGATTTTTCTTCTTGTAGTTTCTCCTGCAAGGGAAATCTTTCTCTAACACAAATCTACAAGTCCAGTTCTAAATGCCTCATGGTTTTAAATGAGCTGCAGGGCTACARAGAGGTTACCCTAGTTTGTATGACTGAGTGCTGATGCAATTCCTCTATCCGAGGAAAGAAAGAAATTGCTTAAATGAAATTGAAATCAGGTCCAGGATCTTTGCATGCAAACAGAGACATTCAAATGATGAATATTACTCTGAGTGACAAATCATACCCACAGCAATGCATTGCTCACGACTCTATAAAGAACTGACTACATCAGCAGGTGATCTAAAATCTGGGCTAAACAGCAACCTTTATCAGCACAGGTGACAGCTGAAATTAGCATTGAGGGAACTGATGAAAACATGACTGTAAGGTCCCGAGATGAAAAATAGATTATTCACTGTCAGGGAGAACAGTGGGCAAGACAAAACCAGTTACAAGGTGACAGTGCATGTAGTGAAAGGGACTACAGAAGAAAATAGCAGTAAAAGTAAAATCAAACCCCCTTGGGGAAAATACAATCATCAGGGATAAAAAGATGGAGACAGTAACGYGAGGATGATTAAAAGGAGAAGAGGAGGGACTGAAACTACAGTTGTACAGAAGAAAAAAATGCTGCAYATCAGAAAGACATCGGACAGTCAAGAAAATGAAAACTGTAAGCACAGAAGGCAATTACTGTAGAAAAGGCAACGATACCAAGATGATGAAACACAGAGGTGCCCAAGGAAGGCCCTGCCCTAACAGTATAGACAGCAACTGCCTGTTGTACTAATGAAGCTACTTAGGTCGTGCAAGCAGTGAAAGGAAAAGAGTCTCTTTGTCCAATATGCTGCTATCATTACCCCCTTGCAAACACTGCACATCAGCACATCAGCAATTGCATTTACTAACAGCGTTTTCAAGATAACTTCTGGCTAACTTTCTCCCATCATATATATACCGCTTTTCATTCTGCAGACACCTTTTCCAGGAAGGCTGGATAGCCACAACATTTGCACTGCAGGTAGTCCAATGTTTTGCTTGCCACGGAACAAAACTGCTTACATACATTTTGTTAAGTAAATATGAGAAATATTTATTCCTATACATTCTAGGAAATTGCATTCTGCTAAGAAATGTGGCACAAGCAAAAAGGATGTTACGTTTGTTGAGAAAATTATATGCTGCGAATAATTCATTGAGCTATAATAAGTAGCCTCACAAGAGGAGGTCAGTAAAACCCTSGCGAAGGATATTTTTATCATCTATTTCATATTCATTTCCAGCATAACTGCTAATACTTTATGTGATAGTATCACAGCTACGGACAGCTGAAATAAAATAGAAAATGACAACGAACAGGTTCCCTGTGGCATCCAGTGCCATAAATTAACATTAAGGGATATGCTTTATTTTAGTATGGATTTCTTGATATCCATGAAGCCCATCTAAGGTCAATACAAATTGCTAGGGAGGGGAGGGAGAAAGAGGAAGCAGGAGGGAAGATGAGGAGAGAGGGAAAACATGACAATTTAATTCCAATGGTGATTAAAATCTCATTTTTCCTGCATTGCAGATGGGATTTCTTAAACATTTTGGTTAAAAAAAAAAACATTTTTAAAATGTCTGTGTTTTAAAGTGTTTATGCATTCAAAATAGGAAATAGGAAATATATGATTGCAGTATATTTCAACTGCTAATTGGAATTTGGTATGAGGCAACGTAAACTTTGAAGCTAAATGGCATTTTGAAACAAAATCCTGAAACATCTGATTCAATAAGGTACATAATGAGATACATTTACACTTGATTTTTTTTCTGGARTTGAGTCATTCTTGCAGAATATCTCAGTGTAGATGAATATAAAATTTTTAGACAGAAAACTCTTCTCAGCAAGTGTTTAGTCAGTACTAGTTCTAGATTTTCTCTGTGCTTAACTGAACCTTGYCGCACATCACGTGATGCATCTCAGYGCTTCATCCTTCAGACAAAGCARGAGCACTTGGCTGAACAAGGAGCCAGACTGGATGTGTCAGAATGCAGGAGAAGCCATCGAGCTGTGTGTGGCCACCACGGCACAAGCAGCATGTCTGGACCATGCCACGGGAGGGGATCTGCCAGGACACATGGTCCATGTGTCCTCAGGAATCAGCATTGTCCCTCTGCAGGCTTGTCTGCCAATACCCCCACATCTCCTCCTCAGGACCTGCCACCCACTTCCTCTCAAACAAACACCTCCCTCACCTTGGTGAAAGTCAGGCAGTCCTTGTCTTGATCTTTATCCTTTATCTCAAAGTCATAAAGTGCTTTGCCCTGAGGTGGAGCTTGCGGGAGAGGCTTGATACACTGGATATAGCTGGCGGGGAAGAAGCCGTGGTTTCCATTGAGCTCCCCATGGTACCAGTTCTCATCCACCTTGCGCCGCAGGATGATGATGTCCCCCTTGTTGAACTTGAGGTCTCCAGGCTCCTTCCCCTCATACGTGTAGAGAGCTTTGCCATAGGGCAGCTGAGAAGCACTCTGAAAAAGCAAAAGAAGCAAGAGCTGTAAGCAAACTGAATCCTGCACCGATTTCCTTCTCCAAGCAGTAAGCAAACTGGTAATCCATGACTGCAACCTGCTGCTCAAACCCTTGAACAGGCCATACATGAAAACTGGGGTAAGCCTGACACTAGTTGTCCTGTCAGAGCAGGCACTGCCACTGCAAGGAGGCACCCCAGTTTTCTAAAAGCTCAGCTGAAGCCCACAGGGCCTGCACACAACAACAAGCAGTGTCTGTTGATCTGCAAAATACCCTATGTAAGTAGGGACTCCTGATTGAACATGTAAAGCATGATGTGTCTGAAGATAAAATAATGTCTAAGGATAAAACTAATAAAATAATCATCCCATATAGTTTTATATAAAAAACATTTGGCCTACAGGCTTTCTTTTATTTCTGGAGCACAGCAAGATAAACATAACAAATGGGAAGATTTACATGATTTTCAAAGTCGGCAAATCGAAAGTTTTTCATTGTGTTTGTTTGAGCAACTTCAAACATTTTTGAATTTAAAGCTTTTAGTTTAGCTTTTGATTTTGCAACCAAATACTCCCAGTCCTTTCAAAATGCCCAAGTCTCATGCTGTACATTGAGGGCTACTGTAAACAGTTATAATGTTCTTTGTTGCTTCTGAATTAATGTCCCTGGGGAAAAAAAAAAGCAGAATATGCAGAACGCATCAGCTCATTCTCTTAGAACTAAAAAGAGCTCTGAGACTTTCACTTTCATTAAAATAAATAAATAATTAGGAATAAAATCACAGTATAAGGGTAAAATAGCCAAAAAAAAGTGAATAGCTCAGCATGGGAGTAAACAGACAACATAATTCTGTTCTAATGGAAACAACTTGACTGTGCAGAACACTTCCTAGAGCCCATTTTGGCCTGGTTGCACATATCTTGGAAAGCACATGCAACAGATCTTTTCGTCTGCTTTACACTGTAAGGGAGCTAGTCAAATAGGCAGAGTTACGCAGAGTGCTGTATTGCTTGGGCTGGGATTTAATCTCATTGAACTGTGCCCCCATCTCTCTGCTTTTTCATTACCCATTTGTTATTCCTCTCTTTTTCTCTGCTTTTTGATTTTGCTATATATGAATGAAGATACTCAGTTAAAGATCGATATTTTGGAAGCACCTTCAAATATAACAAAAAGGAGTAAAAATACTGTCGAGAAAATCAACAGCCAGCTAACAAAACATACATCAAACAACCTCTGCCAATTCACTGCAGCATCATACTGATATTTTTCTCTCTGCCAGGATGGTTATTTCCCTTGACACCAAAGCCTGCCTCTCTCCCCAGCATTTTAAAGATTAAGCATGCAATACCATCAAGGTAAGACATAGATTGCATTACCTATTGGAAACCAGAAGAAATATTAAGCTGGAAGAAAGACTACAGAGGCATGTAGTAATTCAGAAATAAAAGATTCATTACTTGAACTCATGCTGAGACAAGACAATTTATCAAACACTGAGCAAGACTTCTGCCAGGTGTGCAATGAACCGCTGCTGATCCAGGCCCAAGCCTGGCAAACATGCTCCGTATCAGTTACCAAGGATGGGGCCTGCTTATTCCCAAGATCTTTGCAGGAATTCAAGGTCAGATCTCTTTCTTTCATTTTTAACCTCTTTTACTTTGTAAGCCTTGTTTTCCTGTGTTAAAAGTGAATGGCCCTCAGAGTTACAGAAAAAGCAACTGGATTCCAGTCAGTCTCACTTCTCATCAGCAACATTTTTGTGCTGCACCTGCTTGGCCTCTACTGCTATTCAACTGAGTTGCTTAGAAAATGATTCAGGTGTTTGTTCCTTAATCTGATGAAGATAGAGACTTTTAAGCAGAAGAAATAAGCTGAATTGCACAGATTTTAGCCCCAAATTTTCATTTGAAATCTGTCACTTTGGAGTCACTCTGTCAATTTGGAGAYCTTGTATGACAAGGAATCTGTAATTTAGGTGCTTTGAGCTCCTCTGCTTCTCTCTGGAYGGCAAGAGCTCCATGCCCAGAGCTACATATGCTGCACCACAGCAGTGCACCCAACTGGGGCTAACCGGGGAACACGTCACAGTATCACAGAATCACAGAACGGTTGAGGTTGGAAGGAACCTCTAGAGATCATCTAGTCCAACCCCCTGCACCAGCAGGGACACCCAGAGCACGGGGCACAGGGCGGCATCCAGGCAGGTTTGGAAGGTCTCCAGAGAAGGAGACCTTTATCTGCCTAGGAACACAGCCTTCCACAGAGAAGAACCTGGACGTATCTTACCCAGGCAACCACTATCAGAAAAAAAAAAMCTGTTTTTTTCAAATAGAATTTTTCAACTGTCAGCTAATGTTTTTTAATTCTGAGCCACAGCTTTCYGATTAAAGAAAAAATCTGAGGAAAACATTTTTTTTTTAAATAAAAATATTTAACCAGAAAGATTCTCTCCCACATAATTCTGAGCTAATCACCCCTCACATATATTTTGCCTCACTTGACTCCTCCCATTCGAAGGCAAGGCTATCAGCCAGGACTGCTTRCAGACTCCTGACCAAATCCTGAGAGCCTGGCTTGGAAGCAAGCCAATCTCTTTTTCTCTTTGGAAGTTTTGTCCCATGTCCTGCCCTATTTCCTCTCAACTCCTTGTCCCACCCAATGGCACTTAGTGAGACATAGCATCTTCAGTGAGCCCAGATGGTCTTCTTTAACAAAACTCCTAAATCTAAAACAGGCTGTAAAGTATCATCTAAAGGAATACCTTGGCATCAGACTAAAGAAAGCCAGCGGCAAGCAATGGCTTTGGTGGGAGGCAGCGCACAAGGATGCTCCTGCAGCTGCAAGCATATGGACACACTTTCATCTTGGTCCCTCCTTCAGCTTCTCTTCTTTCCCTGTCTCAGGACAGCCKGTGGGCAACACTACGGCATTAGCAAGGTGCACACCACCAAATGGCACCATCCCCTCGTTGCCCTCCTCATCCCTGTTCCCCAGCCAAACCTCTCCTTGGCTRTGTCCCCACTTGGGACCTCCCAGCTGCAGGATGGAGCTCCCTGGCCTGCTGCCATCCATGCAGCGCTGCCCACACTCATGTCCCTTTCTAGCACATGCAGCCACATGGGTCGGGTTGACTTGTCCCTTTGCTGCACGCGTTGCACCCTCCTTCGCACGGCACCTCCTGGATGTCGGCTCCAGGCCTGTTTTCCTGCACCCCTCACTATTGTTTGCCCCATTCCCACAAAATCTCATCAGGCAGGACGCAGGCAGCTTTGAAATGAAATGGCCTCTGCATCTGACAGTGTATTAGGGAATTGATTTGCCCTGGTGATTTATAGCTAGGTTAACTGGAATTCAGCTAGGATGTGTATTATATTTCACATCTCTGTGTGCACCCGCACAGAGTGAGAGGAACAAGGAAAGGAAGAGTGCAAGGAAGTCTTGGGCAATGGCTACTTTCTTTTCCCTGCCAGAAAATGCTCCTTGGCACAATGCTGAGCTCTGCCAAAGGTTTCTTTTCTTTTTTTCAGCAATCAATACTGACGTAAAAGCCTGAAGCGTTAATATGCTGAAAGCCCCCCTTGCAAAAGACTTAATGATATGTTGGCAACTCAATCATTCTGCATTTGTGTTTCAGCAATGTCGAATGGCAGCAGTTAAGCAGAAACCTGCTGGCAAATTGACAAACAACAGCCATGGAGCAATTAACTGGCAACGCTGGAGAATTTTTCACTGCATATCCTGAAGAACAAAAGAAGAACATGCTTGTTGCCAATAAATTCTCCCAGTATAAAGCTTTGGAGAACAYTGGTAGAGTAGGTCCAAAGTTTTGAAAAGTCATGGTGAAGAGATATGTGGTCAATATGCTTCAAAGCAATGCAAGTTTGATATATGTGTCAGTTTGCCAGCTTCTTCATGTGACCTCTGATGAAGGGGGCTAGAAGGAAGGAAGGAAGGAAGGAAGGAAGGAAGGAAGGAAGGAAGGAAGGAAGGAAGGAAGGAAGGAAGGAAGGAAGGAAGGAAGGAAGGAAGGNGAAGGAAGGAAGGAAGGAAGGAAGGAAGGAAGGAAGGAAGGAAGGAAGGAAGGAAGGAAGGAAGGAAGGAAGGAAGGAAGGAAGGAAGGAAGGAATCCCACATGTGCCCAAGTGCAGGTGCCTACAAAACATCCTTTTGATACCTCACACTATGTGGATGTGAAAACAAAAGCTTCACTGTGTGTGCAGTAAGCTTTTCTCGTCACCGCAAGCAGTGTGTAGGTGTTTAAGTTTCTGTCCCTGTGTATTATTAGGAAAGCTGTACACTGAAGACAGCACTGAAATCCCAACTATAAAACCGTGAGGTATGGGGCAGATTTGCTAGCTCACAAGCTAGCAAGTACATGAGAGGAATGTTCATGACCAATCCTTAAAATCAGGATATAGCTGTATATAATAATTCAAAAAAAAAATACAAAGAGAGGAAGGTCTTCAGCTATCAAACACAGACAGAAATACTGTGACCAAACACTTSAAAAATAAGGTGCATGGCAGCTCCCTTACACTATGCTCAGGATAAGCTTGCATTGAGAATCCTAAAGGCTGAGAAACCCTGTGAAGTCTTCCAAAGCACAGCCACGTCTCCTCTCTCTGCGGAGCTCAGGAAAAAAGGCTGATTCTCCATTGTGCAAAATCCACATTTCATCCAAGGCCATCTTAACAAATCACACGGCCATATTGCTTGTTGCGATTCTTCAAATTTCTCCATTGCATCTGTACTCCCCAGCCTGCAGACACATTTCTGAAGAACCCATTCTATTGGGCTCTGACTATTCCCAAGCTCCCAAGGAATAGTCATTTATCTTAGCCAGCCTTTGGGAAGTATCACCAAGCGTAGACATTCAAACCAAGTCAAAGATCTATTGATAGTCACATCCACTCAGAAAGGGGAAAGTCAAGGAAAGCACACACATCTGCCTAGTACGTTATAATTATGCATAAACCACAACTGTAAGGCATAAATAATAATTAAAGCACACATTGTTAATTTTTTGCCTCATTACTCAGAAGCATCACACAAATCTCTCGGTCTACACGAACAAGGATTCAGTGGCAGCACTGAGGTTTGCACCTATGCGAACTGTGCATCTAGTATGAAGCTCCCCATGAGCTTCAGCATATGGTTTCCTGCCATGCGTAACAGCTTCCCACCAATACTTCAGCTGTGCTGGAGAGGACAGGGATTGAACTAGCAGGAAYGCTGAGGAGGAGACTGGGTGCCTCCCTGGATGCACCTTGACATCTGCATTGAAGGCAATTGTTTAAATCAGTTAACAGTGACTTAGACCATCATCACAGAGAGCCTGCTGCGTTCCCTTCAGGACAGAAAAAATGGGAGGTGATCTAATAGACACATGGGCAACAGCCTCCATCCAGGTGAGAGTGGAGAGCAAATCCTGCCTATGTCATATCTGGACTCTAACTGCTGATAATGACACTCATGGACATTTGAATGTATTTCAGGAGCAATACTTTTAATTTTAATCA